GACAGGAAGAAATCCAAGCATACACGATGTCACGGAAGCCAGGAGAGAAGTATTTCAAAGAAAGTGGAATTAAGTATGCTCTATCCACCTATTAGATTATATACTGTATTCAGGACCCTTACTGTAGTCTTTTTGAAATCTCTATTAATTAAAATGACATTTTAGAATTATAGGTTCAATATTTAGTCTACCCTTTCAAGCATGCATACATTAACTGGGTAATACAACCATGACATACATACTTTTTTCAAATTAAGGGAACCAAGTAAGGAGTTTAATTAGACAAGTATTCAGTCAGCAAATCTTATCTGCATTCCTTAAACACTGCTTCTTTTAAAATTTATGTGAAATGAATAATGAATTCCATAAAATGAGACTTCTAAAGCACATATTTAATATATCTTCTTTCAAATCTGAAATTAGAATTTTTACCATGGTTATCCCCTCCTTTCTATAGAAACAGACTTCAATAAACACCTAACAACAAGTATTTTTAAGGACAAGGAATGGGGCATGTGGGGGCTCAGTTGGTTAAGCATCTGCCTTCAGCTCAGGTCAGGATCCCAGGGTCCTGGGATCGAGTCCTGCATGGGGCTCCCTGCTCAGCTCCCTCTGCTGCTCCCCGTGCTTGTGCTCTGTCAAATAAATAAAATCTTAAAAAAAAAAAAAAGGGAAGAGAGAAAAGTGGGATAAACACTAAAACAATCTCTCCTAATTATAAAACATCTAACCAGCTATAGAATTAATGTAATACTTCTTTATAAATGCCCATCCTTCAAAATGGCCTACCTTTTATCCTTTTAAACTAGACACTTCAGTAAGTTACCTAGTGGTTACCCTCATTTAATTTCTCTAACAATCCAATTACACTATCAGAGGCAATCTTCAGAGAAGATAACATATACTAATGAAGCAATTATTTAAAATTTAAAAAAACTACCATTAAAATTTTACATGACTAAAACAGTCATAACAAAATAAATCTTACATGCCACTAAACAATTTTATCTTAAGGGAGAGCCCCAGGATACTTCACAGAACACCAATTACACTGGGCCGAGCGTGCTGTAGCAAGGGAAGACACAGGAGTGAGGGCGGCACTGCATAACGCAACAAGCGGTTGCAGGAGAGAGGTGTGAAATGAACAAACCCCGTGGGCTTTCGTAGCCTCTGGGTGCACATTTTAAAAATGAGAAGAGTGTCTTCACAGACTCTACTTACCTGACAAAGAAATAGTTCAACACAGAGCAGGAGTTCCACAAAATTAAATCTAGTTGATTAAAAAAGTATGTCCTATGATTCACAGGATTAGCCTTTGTAATAGTGGTATGAAGAAAATTCTACTTGCCTTCAAATATGTTATAAATCATTTCCATTACCTGTAGATAAGTACCACTTTAATCAAGGCTTTAAGATGACCCACCATAATTAGGAATAGTACTAAAAGTGACATTATAGTCACATTCTCTTACCAGTGGAAGTCAGTGTAGCAAAACGGTTAAGTAGAAAACCTCTGCAATAGTATCTAGTTCAAATTCTAGATCTGCTCCTTACTAGATATGGGTGCTTGGCTTTCAGTGTCTTGATGTGCAAAACTGCTAAGGATTTAATGCACTTCTTTGCCTAGTATCTGGAACATAGTAAGAATTCAACAAAGGCTAACTATTCCTATTAAGTAAAAGTTTATTTTCATACACAGGTCCAGTACTATAGTTAAACAGAAGGGTACTCAAGAAAATGAGGTCATTTCAAAAGTCAACAAAAGCAGAATAAAGCTTTTCAAAGTCAGCAAAACTGGGGATGGAACAGTCAAGAAGGCTACCTAGAGGTTACAGAGCGGACGTTATAAGGATTGATGATAGCCTTTCGCCAGAGAGCTAACTCTGTGGCACAAAATCAAGAGGACATTCCAGGATGCTAAGGTACATGTGGAATTCTGTACAAGACATGAAGTACACAAAGGTGAAGATTAGGAACAGATCCTCCCTTACAGGAGTTTCCACATGAAGGAAGACAAGCACCCGTTTGTATTGCTCACTGTATCAAGATGCAATCACAATACAACTGGACTTTAACACTTCTTCCAACTCTGTATTTCAATATGAGAAAAACAGTAAGTACTTAGTAAAACCATACTTCCCAACAGCATCTGTGTCACTGTGCCAAATACATAACTCAGGCAAACTATGTTCATTTCCTTCATTTCCCTCCATTATTTTAAGGTTCCTGGGTATTCATGTTGGGAAACAAATAACATGTATAACACCAAACTACACACTATAGAAGAAGCAAAAAATGAAAAGGATAGATAGCATCTGTGGAGCTTACAACCTAGTAAGATGATTCAGGCCCATATACATGACTACTACTTCAGGAAAGAGAAATACCTTTACAGATGTACAAAGTTCTGAGGCGATCCCAGGATAGAACAAGGTAAGAATGGAAGAGACAAGACAGGCTACCTAAGAGGTGATAGTGAGTGAGGATAGACTTACAAGGATCAATGACAGCCTTCTGACTAGTAGACAGCCATTTGTTAGGAAAAGGAAAAAGAGACATTCCAATGGGAGGGAACATCAAGTAACCTAAACGTGGATACAGCAAAAGGTATATAAAATAGTGAGAAGTAGGTTGAGGAGGCTGGGAGTACACTGGGCAGGCATTTTTAATGTCAGTGTGAGAAATCTGTACCCAAAAAGTAACACTGCAGGATTTCCTAAGCTCGGTCAAAGAAGCCTTGTAAGCCTTGGACTTTGGCTAGGTCTTCGGGAACACCCTTGGGAGGGAAGTCAGCTACCATCTGACTTCCCTGAGGTCACTATTAAATAAGGAAGTCCAAGCCAGCCATATAGAAAGACTATGTGAAGACATGACCAACCTGCCTTCATCCACTCCAGCCATCACAAACCAGGCGTCAGACTTATGCTCAGACTTATGCTCATCGGGGAGTCAGCTTCTCCCTCTCCCTTTGCTCCTCCCCCTGCAAATGCACGCGCGCGCTCTCTCATTCACTCTCTCCCACAAATAAATAAAATCTAAAAACCAAACCAAACCTCCATTCTGTTTTCTGTCAATACGTGGTTAGCTTGACTTCTTCCTTTTCATTAACAACCATTTTTCTTGTAGCAAATGTGACACAAGATATTTCTGAACCACATCAGCAATTCACTAACAGAATTGCTGGAACAAGGAAGTGTGGCAATATTACAATCTGTGTTAGCAGGCACAGTCACCAAGTTAAACTGTTTAGCTATACATCTGCCTTCCCTTCTGGAATGTAAAGGTATTTGCTTGAAAAGAATCACCTGTACATAAGGGATTCACTTATAAGTCAATTCACCACATTGTTTAACGGCTTCAACTAATTTCCATTTCTGCTTCACTTCTTTCTTTCCCCAGGCAATATTTCTGTTGCACTGGTTTAAGCAAAGATTGTGTCCCTTCCTAACATTCTCATGATTTTTTTTTAAAGATTTTATTTATTTATTTCACAGAGAGAGACAGCGAGAGAGGGAACACAAGCAGAGGGAGAGGGAGAAGCAGGCTTCCCGCCGAGCAGGGAGCCCCGATGTGGGGCTCGATCCCAGGACTCTGGGATCATGACCTGAGCCGAAGGCAGACGCTTAATGGCTGAGCCACCCAGGCACCCCACAGTCTCATGATTTCTATTGGTCTGCAGACTTCTTTGGGAAGTTCGAGAAAATGTCAGCCCCTATAAACTTTACCCTACAGGTTTTCATTTGATGATGACAGGCTCCTGAGTCACCATATTCCTTGCTGACTGCAAGGAAGGTGACAGGTCAAAGATTAATACCCTCTAAGAGTTATTGTCTGACCTTGACCTACTCTTTCTGACAAATCCCCAGTTAACACCCACTTATTTGACAAAGATTTTTAAGGAAAAAAATCAAACCGTAGCTTCTGTGGAGCATACCAGTAATTTACATTACTGAACAGAGAATAAAACATTAGTTTCCTTTTCTTCATACCAGTACATCTAAATCATTGTTACATCTTTGTCTTTAAGAAAATTCCACTGCTTTCAAGATCTGACTGAACCCAAGGCTGACATTTAGAGCCTTTCTCAACCTTACCGCCGACTTATAACTCCTTATAATTCGATGTCCAGCTGAAAGCACACTCCCTCTGCCTGAACATCTCAGGTTCCTCCATTCGGGATTTCTTTCCCCCATTCTCATAGTGGTTACTTACTCTCAACACTTCTTGTTACTAACCATGTCACTTAGGTATGTGTCTACTCCCCATAAGCCTCAGAGTCCATGGAGTTAAATTCAAAATTACAAGGAATGTGCTTAGCACAGTGCTTAAGGTTTGTAGCCACCCAATAAGCGCTGAATTCTTGTACTTAACAAAATTCCCCAAGGTGCAATTCATTCCCTCAATCAGCACTTAAAGGAGGGTATTACTCTATCAAGTACTGCGTTAGCCACTAAGATCAACGACTGCACACTATCCCAGACCTCTGAAGACGAGGTGACTAGTTTCATGTTTGCCTATCCAGTCTCTCACATACTTTTCGTAGGCCCAGTTCAAATGCTAATTGGCCCCGACCCCTCAGCTTATGCCTAAATCTTTCACAGCCTGACAAGGAGTTAAGAACAGTTCCTTGAATCTCTCTTAAGAAACACCGTGGTGTAACAAAAGGGCAAATATGTGAAAAAGCACAGATGCTGGCGATCCTCAGGTCCCTTTTCTGTGAAACAAGGGTATACAAATACCATCTGCTTTACTGAGGCATTATAAAGAATAAGACATATTTTTTAGATGCAGAGAAAGCAGGGACTTAGTAGGCGTTCACTAAATCTTATCTCCCTTCCTTGAAAGCGCTGGCACTGCAATCTGCACTTAAGGGCCTCGGGACCCGGCAATTGGAAGAGCCGGGAACGCCGCGGGGAGCCGCACGCCCGGGATACATCTGTCGGATGTGCGGTCCCCGCGGTCGAAGACGCCCCGGTACCCCTACCCGTGCCGGACCTCACCTTGGTGGTCGTAGACGCTAATGTAGGAGATGCCCACAGCCATACACCACACCACGAGACTCGCGATGTCCGAGAAGCTGGGCTCCTGCTCCTCTTCGGTGACCACCAAGCCCATATGCACTGGCAGCTTCTCCAGGGAACGGCCGTCCGCGCGCCAGCGCAGCCGGGGGTGGGCGGCGGCCCGGCCCGGCCTCCCGCGTGGGTGCCGGTAGTGACGGCGGTTCCCGCCGACAGCCGGGGCCTTGCGGAGCGTGAAGCCGAGCGGCGCTAGGACCGCGGCGGAGGCGGCGCGACAGCAGCGCCGCCAGATCCAGTTCCAGGTGCCGAACCGAACGCGGAGCCAGGAGGTGAGCGTGCGGTGCAGACAGAGCAGAGCGTGCAGCACCCGCCACACCAACTCGTACAGCCCCGTCATACTCTCGTGGCGCCCGGGCGCCCTCTCCTCCCTCCCTCCCACACCCACGGCGCGACGGCTTTTTATCCAGCCCTGCGGCCGGCGCGGGCCATCATCGCTCCATATTCCCCCGCCCCCCACGCCCGAACCCCTTTCTACTGCCAACACCTCACCTCGCCCCCGCCGCCATCTTCCTCCTGCCTCGGCAGCCCCGCCCCCGCTAGTACATGGACAGTTCTGATTGGCCGGTGCGGAACTCTGACGCGGCCTCTGGGTCCGAGGATGTGGCCTAACCCGGCGAGGCAAGGGAGGGCGAGCGCCTGCGAACTAAGCGGGCCGGAGACCGAGCGCGCCCCCTTGTAGTGTGGAGGGCGAGGTGCAGACGCCAGCAACCCTTGCCCGCAGGACCTCAGAAAGGTACACGTCTTGGAGGTTGGAATGGGCGATTTCAGGGACTCCGCGTCCCTCGGGGCCTTAGGCGTCTTATACTGTCTCCTTTCATGGCCCCGCCAGAAACGGTTTCTAAGGAGTAGAAGTGGCCCAGCTGGATTGGAAATTACAAATGCCAGAAAGAACCTAGGAATAGAAGGTAGCCCGCAGCAAGTGTTGATGCTGAGGATCAACGAGGGTCCCCAAAAAGGAAGTGTGCAGAGACAGGAGCGTGCCCCTTAGAGAGCTTCTTTGGTCAAGGCTTGTACCTGAGGTCAATTCCTCCCAAAGTGTGAATGAGGATCTCTAGTAATGTTCTTGAGACACAATTTTGCTTGTGTCATTCCCCTCTAAATGGAATCCTTACTGCCTGTCCATTGCTTAATACATAAAAGGGGGTTCCAAGGCCTGGCAATCCAGTCAGTTTATTCTTTTCTTCATTCAGCAAGAGATCACTAACTACCAGTATGTCGGACCCGAGTAACCATCATTTGGTGGAAATTGCCCACGTAGCCACATCATCCCCTTCACACATCCTAATGTTCCAGCCAGTCTGGGCTACAAAGTGTTCCTCCAGGCCAGTTCTGGATTTCACTGCAGCAGTTCTGTCCCATTTCTGCCCATTTTGTTCTCTTCCCTTATCAATTTCTATTTCCCAAGTAAGTATTCCCCGAGCCCCAACCCATTTCCCAAGCTCATCTCACTTGCCAGATCCTCAAGGAAAATTCCCTTGATCCCCTAGCCAGAAGTTATTTCTTCCTCCTTGTAAATCGCACCACTCCTTGTAAATTTCACAGCTCTATTTATAGCACTTTCCATTTTCATATACAGTTTACCCTTGAAAAATGTAGGGGTTTAGGAGTGCCAAAACTCCCATCCCCCCAGTCAAAAATCCTAGTATAACTTCTGACTCCCCAAAAACTTAACTACTAACATCCTACTGTTGACCAGAAGTCTTACCAGTAACAAAAACACGTGATTAACACATATTTTGTATTTTATATGTATTATAATTTGTATTCTCCAAAAAGTAAAGTAAGCTGGAAAAAGAAAATGTTATTAAGAAAACCATAAGGAAGAGAAGTACATTTACAGCACTGTACTGTATCAAAAAAAAAAAAAATCTATGTAAGAGTGGAACTGCACAGTTCAAACACTGGGGTTGTTCAAGGATTAAATGTACACGCGGGTTGGGGCACCTGGGTGGCTCAGTCGGTTAAGCATCTGCCTTCAGCTCAGTTCGTGATCCTTGGATGGAGCCCCATGTCAGGCTCCCTGCTCAGCGGGGAGTCTGCTCCTCCTTCTCCCTCTGCCCCTCCCCCCTGCTCATGCTCTCTCTCTCTCATAAATAAATAAAATCTTAAAAAAATGTACAGATGGGTGTATATATATATAATATTATTGCATGTTATATATAATATATATAAAACAATTACATTTGTGTAATGCCTACCTACTCTTTGTTCTCTCAAGCCCCCTTTCCCCCTGGGAAACTTCTTTTAACACCTTGGCTACACACCTTCATGTTTCAATCCTTGTCACTTTTTGGACCAGTCTCATTTTCTAAGACTCACTTTATTTTAAAACTGGAATCTCATGTCCATCTCAAAGTTCTCCTCCCTTTGGCAGTTCAGCCTGAGGAACCGAAGGCTAAGCAGCAGGCACACCCTTCACACACTTCTACCTCTCTCCGTGTCCTCTGCACTTGCTTCTCTGGTGATGGACAAAGAAGAGGGAGATGGGAAAGGCAGTGACCAGGAAAGGCTGCAGTCTTCTTTCTCCCTAGCCATTGCTGTTTATGTGATTCCAGGATGCTCTGTTAAGGAAGCTCCCAGGCACAAGCGTCCTTCTGAAATGCGGCTATGTATTCTGAAGGACATCCCCTTACACACACACACACACACACACACACACTGCTACATTTCTCTGATGTACTCTATGCCCCGGTGTTTGCCACTTCTGACAAGATTAAAGCCATCAATCTCATCTCCCCATGGCCAACTCCCAGGTCTGCAGGCACATGTGGGCTAAAACGTTTGTACTTCCTTGAGTTGCAAACTTAAGCAAAGGGGTTCTGGCCCCATTTCTCTCTGACAGTACCCACCACTGCCCCCAACATGCAGATCCTGGCTCCTCTCCTCAACTGTTGGGTTTTTTCCTCCAAGAGTAACCAGAGGTAGGTTAACAGGACTCCTGGCTTAAAAATGTCCAGCCTCCTGGGCGCCTAGGTGGCTCAGTCAGTTAAGCATCTGACTCTTGATTTCAGCTCAGGTCATGATCTCAGGGTCATAGGATCAAGCCCCGCATCGAGCCCTGCATCGAGCCCCGTACTCTCTCTCAAAAAAATAAATAAATATTCAACCTCTACGAGGGAGTAGGGAAGGGGCCCCTACTTTTCTGCTTTGGCATCTTTCAGTGGGCTAGGGATGGGAGTGTCTGGTGGTTGCTCTCAAATTCTGGCTACTTCTCTGTGCTTAGAAGGAGGTAGGTTTCCTGCACTCCAATGTTTATAGCAGCAATGTCCACAATAGCCAAACTATAGAAAGAGCCCATGCCCATCGACAGATGAATAGATAAAGAAGATGTGGTATATATAATATACAATGGAATATTACTAAGCCATCAAAAATGAAATAAGAGACTCTTAACTATAGGAAACAAACTGAGGCTTGCTGGAGGAGAGGTGGGTGGGGAGATGGGGTAACTGGGTGATAAGTCTTAAGGAGGGTATGTAATGTAATGAGCACTGGGTATTATATGTAACTGATGAATCCCTGAACTCTACCTCTGAAACTAATAATGCACTATATGTTAATTAATTGAACTTAAATAAAATAAAATTTTTTAAAAAGAAGGTAGGTTTGATGCCTTTTGTTTTCTGCTATAATTCTGGGATAACAGGAAAACATAATAATATCCTGTTATGTATATCCATTCAATCCAAAGTTTATGCACTTCTCTCTTTTCTAAAGGATTTCTTATTTTGTCATTTTCAAAAAAAATGTAGCAAATGTGACACTTCTAGGAATGTTAGGGGTTCATATAAATATAATATAAATTTTGGACTTCTTAAGCATAATTCCCAACACCCAAGTTCTACCAGGGGCAGAAAAATGCAGAAAGAATTCCACAGCCTCAGAAAGTAAGTCTCCAGCATTATGGGAACATACATACTGTGTGATTCCAGGCGTATGACATTCTTGATATGTCATATATCAATATCGCTGCTATATCTCAGTCTGGTTCGATGCTTGCTCTCTCTCTTCAAAGTGGTTTTGTTTTGTTCTTTGTTTTTGCCTTTTAGAATGCATTGTAATTTTTACTTGAGGCTTGGACATGATGTACTGGGGGAGCAACTGCTGTGAAGAGTCCTTTAGCAATGTGGTGGTGAGATGCAGAGAATGGGAAGGCTTCTGTAATCCTATGGTCAGGTCTCAGTCTTTTAGTGAGCCTGTGCCTCTGGTCTGTGCACTCACAAGTGTTTTCAGTTCCCTAACCCACCCCTCTCTGGCCAGGATGGCTAGACAGGGCTGGGGTCGGGTATTTCTCTTCCCCTGGACCAGATAAAACCCTAGTAATTTAGACTGTGGTGAAATAGTTTCTCTTGAGAGCACACCTTGTTAAGAATAGAATGGTCTGGTCTATCTCAAAGATTCCTTTCCGCCTTCTGCTGCCAGAAGCATGGGGTGATTTTTGTCTGTAATATTCACTTGAGGAACCTGGTTGATCTCCTGAAGGTAAAACGCACATAAGTGTGGGAGACTTCCCGTGCCTGTCCTCCCCAACTCACCCAGCGTTTTTAATTCTCAGACTTGTCCACTCTGAGCCTCCAGCAATTTATCAATTAGAGTTCAGGTTCTTCTGCCATAGCACTGGTTCCTGCTGACGTCTCTGCTCAGGGCTTTCTGCTCCAGTAAACTGTGATTCTCTGCATTCACTCATCTCTCTGATTTGGGGAACAGCAGTCTGCCTTGTGACCTCACTTCTCTTATGGATCAAAAAAGAGTTGTTGATTTTTGAATTTGTTCAGCTTTTTTATTTGCTGTTACAACAGATAGACAACTTCCAAGCTCCTTATGTGATGGACCATAAACCATTCGTCTACTGCCAGTTTTTTAAAAAGTTTTATTAGAACACAGCCACCCCCATTTATTTATGAATTTTCTATGGCGGAGTTGAGTAGTTGCCACAGAGATTGCAAGGCCCATGGAGTCACAAATATGTACTCTCAGGTCATTTACATTAGCCAATCCAGGTGCGCCTGGGTGGCTCAGTCGGTTAAGCGGCTGCCTTCGGCTCAGGTCATGATCCCAGGGTCCTGGGATGGAGCCCCTCATCGGGCTCCCTGCTCAGCAGAGAGCCTGCTTCTCCTTTTCCCTCTGCCTGCCACTCTGCCTACTTGTACTATCTCTCTGTCAAATAAATAAATTAAAAAAAAATCTTAAAAAAAAAAGTTAGCCAATCTGGCTTAGATTACAAAATTACTTAAGCAAAAGGAACCTTATTCTGATTGGTTTCTAGAGGCTATAAAGTACTTACATAAGTCAAATCTTCCTAAATTCCCAGGAAAAACAAAAAATTATGTACTAGCTTTTTAAAGGAAAAGAAAGCCCCTTTCTCACAGAAACTGCTAGGTCCAAAATCCAAAAAAAGTATCCAAAATCTTTGTAAGAGATCAATCACACTTGTCTGATAGTTTGGGTTTCTGGAAAAGTCTGTAAAATTATTCCTTAGACTTGTCTTCTCATAAAGAGACTAGTTAATCTGAACTTCC